ATAGCCCCAGCCCAGTATTTTTGTTTCTAAAGTTGTGGGTGGTTTTATTTTTAAATTCCCTTTTCCAGTTGTTCTTTGTGGTATATAGAAATATTTTTTGTATGTTGGCCTTATACCCTTTGACCATACTGAACTTGCTCATTAGTTCTGGGAACTATTTTATAGCTTCCTTGGGATTTTCTGTGTCAGTGACCACACAGTCTGAAAATAGACTTTTGTTTCTTTTCAGTGTGTGCCGTGTGGTTTTTTGACTCTGGCCTTGTGCACTGGCTAGAGCCAACAACATGATGCTGTGGAGCAGCAGAAAGTGGAAATCCTAGCATTGTTCCTGGTCTTAGGGGGAAAGCATTCAGTCTTCCTCCACTAAGATAGCTGTGGCATTTTGATAGAAATCGTTTATCAGGTTAAGTTTTCTCATCCTGATTTGCTGAGAAATTTTTATCATAGGTAGATCATGAATTTTGTCAAGTTTTTTTCTACATCAGTTGGCTTTTCTTTTCTATTCTGTTGTTTTATTCTGTTGCAATACTGATTTCTTTTTTCAATATGGGGGATTGAACCCAAGGCCTCAGATACCCTAGGCAGGTGCTCAGCCACATTGGTGAACTTTTAATATTGGACTAGCCTTGCATTTCTTATATTAACTCCCCTCATAATTCTTTTAACACGTTGTTGGATTCAATTTGCTAATATTTTATTGCCTATTTTTACATCCATGTTGCTGAAGCATTTCGGTTTATACTTTTTTTGTACTCTCTGTATCTATATTGGGGATCAGAACAATAATAGCTTTTCAAATAAATTAGAAGTGTTCCCTTCTCTTTCTAGAAGAGATGTGACAATTGTGTTATTTCTTCTTTAAATGCTTGGTAGAATTCACTGGTGAAATCATCTTGGCCTGCAGTTTTCTTTTTTAAAGGTTGATAGCTATAAATTTAATTTGTTAAACGGAGAACTATTTAGGAGAATTCTTCTTGGGGGCGTTTTGGTAGTTTTTAGATTTCAGGGAATTTTATTGTTGTATCTAAGTTGTTGAATAAATTGTGGTACATAAAGCTGTTCAGAAGATTCCCTTATCATCTGCTTAATATCCACATATGTAGCAGTAGCTTCTCTTCTATTCCTGATGCTAGTGACAAGGTCTCTCCATTTTTGCTTTTGGGCTAGAGGTTTATCAATTTTGTTGATCTTCGCAAAGAACCATCTTTTTATTTCACTTATTTTTTTTTTCTCTGTCATTTTCTGCTTCCAATTGCATTCATTTCTGCTCTTTATTGTTTCCATGCATCTGTTTATTTCACAAAACTTGATGAAGATTAAAGTCATCACCATGATTGAGCAAAACTCTTAGAATTTTCCTTCAGTACTGGAAGTGGAATCCATACTAGGCTAGCTCTTTACCACTGAGTTATCCCCTAACCCATAAAATATATTTTTAAAATTCATTAGTTTGAGAACCATCTTAGCAGTGGCCCTATGTTGTCTCTTTTCAGTTGACTGGTCTGAGCGTCTCCAATGGAAAGGACCAACTTGTAGTGTTCCATACAAAAGACAACAAAGACCTCATTGTGTGCCTCTTCAGCAAGCAGCCCACCCATGAGAGTCGAATTGGAGAACTTGTTGGAGTCCTGGCGAATCATTTCAAGAGGTAAAGTTTTATTTTTGTAACTAAGACAGGTTTTAAATATATGAAATCATAATTATCACTGAACTTGTTTGGTGCCAATTTTAATCTATTGAGTTATTTTCCTCCATAGAGACAATCCAATCATCTGTTTCATAGAAGGTAAAATTAGTAACCAGGCTTAGCTTCAGGATTAGGAATGATCCTCTGCTTTCCCAGTCTCTAGCTAAACCAACAATGAGAGGTTTCCCTAATGGGTATTTCTTCACAGTGAATCCAAATGTAATTAAATCCAAACAATAGGAAAAAAATTACTTTGTATTCTTACCATCACAGCTCCTCATTTGCTTCCAATATAATCAGCGT